CGGCCAGGGCGACTCGAGCAGGCTCCCACCGCCCCCCATCCCCCAAGGAGCCCCACTGGCCGAAGAGCGGCATGAGTCACCTGCCGCTGCCCCCAGCCGGCGGGGGCAACTTCCATTCTGGCTGAGGGCGGCCAGGGTGATTCGAGCAGGCTCCCACCGCCCTCCCCCCATGCACGAGTCGCCCGCCGCTGCCCCCAGCCGGCGGGGAAACTTTCCCTGCTGGCTGTCAGCAAGCTGCCAATGTTTTTTTTAGTCCTTCTGTATGCGCTTGCCCGCTTTCGCTTTGTGATGTGCTGATGCGCTTGATGGCTTCGCTAGCCGAAATGTTTATATCTGTCAAGGCCACAGGTGGTTGCCGCTGCTCGTTAGCGCTCGGAGGCTCTCACGAAACACCGTGAGAAATAGATAACATATGCTGTCTAGAAGCATTTGATCCCAGGCTCAATGGTGCGTGCGGGAAACTCCGCAATTGGGCGTCAGTGCTTTGAATGTACTATAACATGCCATGCCCTTTGATTTCCCCTCATTCTGAACAGTGATCCTGTTATGCACCTATAGCTTCAAATAAAGTAAAACCTTTTCTACAAGTGTGTACTTCCTTGATGCTGTGGGAAGTCTGACATTCTGTTCAGAATCCCATTCATTCCCCATCTCAGCAAATCTATCGATATCGATATGAGTGACGGAGAGGGGAAACCACTGAAACCCGACAAAGAGGAACCTGCAAAGCCGGATGAGGGAAAGACCCTCCGGTGACTACTGCATCGGTACCGGTGACTACACAGCTGCCGGTCTCCATGCCGAGTGGGGGGGTGATCCCAAAGAAGCTGATGGCGTCCGTCTTCCTGACCCCCCGAGGCCCCAAGTACAGGCATGACGACTGCACCAGTCAAAGCTGAAGCCAATTTGGTGCGGATACCACCCAAGAGTCCTATTTGCACCTGGGATTTGCCTTGAGGGACAGTTTGTACGACAAGGGTCTGGGGGCTCAAGGATTGCCTCCTCTGGGAGCCCAATTTGAACCCATGCTGCCGACATGGGTGACTGATCAATCAAAGGCCTCCCCGGAAGAGGGGCTGATGGACTAGATCGAGACGACGGACCGAACGGTGCAGCAACTGCAGCAAACGTTGGAAGAGATGCTACAAGCCATCCTGGAGTTGGTCACGCAAACCATCGAAGAAGCGCTCGAGCAGATGCGACCGGCGGATGGGGTGCCAGGGGCCCAGCCGCTGACGGGACCTGGGGACCCAGGCCAACAAGGGCCACCCGGCCAACCGGGGGTATCTCAGCAACCGGTCCCAGTCCCCGCTCCGAGACCTCTGGAAGTACCAGCCCCGGTGCCGAGGCCAGCCAGTCCCAGGGGACAAGCAACCCCGAGGTCGAAGGACCTGATTGAGGCGACGTTTGATGGCAACCCGGAAGAGCTCTCGTACTTCGTTGTACAGGTGCAGAAATTCGTGGATCGTTCGGGTCACCTGTTCCCAGATGACAGCAGCCGCATCGATGTGGTAGCCGCAAGACTCAGAGGACCTGCAGCAGCCTGGTACGTGGGGCTTCACAATGCCCGGGCACCTGAGCTGACGGACATGTACGCGTTCATGTGGGCGCTGCGAGCCCAGTTCGAGGACCGCAATGCGGGGCCAAGAGCGCAAGCGTACTTGCGCACACTGAAACAAGGGAGAAGAACAGTCCATCAGTACTCGACTGAATTTAAACTGCACACAGGCAAGTTGCCCAACTGGCCGGACAACATCCTGGCAGAAATGTGCCGAGTCGGCCTGAATGCGGAAATCAGAGAGACGGTACTGAGATCAGTGGATCTGATTTCCCTGATGGCTTGGATGCAAGAAGCCGAGAGTGCAGAGAGTCGCCTGCAAACATTGAGACTCGACATTGCCGCAGCTGGAGGAAAGGCAACCCCCTCTCCTCTGAAACCCAAACTGTCGCGACAACCAGCTGCCCTGCGAGAGCAACGGATGCGCCAAGGTTTGTGCCTAAAATGCGGGGAAAGGGGCCATTTCACTGCCGACTGCGGGCAACCCAGCTGGAGGGAGAAAGCTGACACTGGAAAGGGACGCCCCACCACCCTGATGAAGAAACCCACAGGGAAGCCGAAATTTGCAAAGGCTTTGCTTGCATCGCCGGAGGAAGACGAGGGAGACTTGAGCAACGAAGAACAGGAGCCGGCGGGAAATGACTCAGTCCTGCTGTAGAAGGCGCAGAGCAGCAGGACCCTCCCAGCGAGGCGCCAAAAAGTGGTGAGCGAACCCCCCTCCCTCTTCTTTGTGACTGTGTCAGTTCTAAACCCGACCCTTGGAACTCATGTTAAAGTGAAGGCTTTCATAGACTTGGAGTGCGGGAGAGACTTGATAAGCCCCTCGGTGGTGGCTGCGCTAGAAATTGGGGTGGTGGAGTTGAAAGATCCCATAATCTTCACCCAGATGGATGGGTCACCCATGAAAGACCCATGTAGATATGAGACTGTACCACTGCTAGTGGGGGCCGGAGAGCACTGGGAAACTAGGTCCTTTATAATTACCCCAGCAGCATGCTTTCCGATGGTGTTGGGAGCCCCGTGGCTTCACGGGCATGACCCTTACATACTTTGGGATGAAGGGAGGGTGCAATTCATCTCGCCCAAATGTAAAACCCACTGTTGGGATGAGAAATGGGGACAGAAACCCAAACCCGAGGAACCCATGGCCCTCCTGGCCCAGGAAGAATTAAGCTCCATCCCTCCTGAATATCGGGACTTAGGGAGGAGGAGGCGGATGAATTACCTCCCCACCAGCACTAGGACTGCAGCATCGAGCTGGTGTCAGGGGCTAAACTACCCAAGGGGAAGATTTATGCCATGGGGCCGGCCGAAAAAAGACGAACTGAGAAAGTTTATCAATAAGAACTTGGCGTGTGGTTTCATCCGGCCGGCATTGTCCCCCTTCGCAGCACCCGTGTTGTTTAGAAAGAAAAAGGATGGAGGGCTTAGACTCTGCATGGATTATCGAGGGTTAAATGCAGTGTCGGCTACCAACGCCTATCAAATGCCATTGATTAAAGACTTGTTGGCAGAAGCTGCCAAGGGGAAATTTTTTTCTAAGTTGGATTTACGGGATGCTTATTTCTGTGTGTGCATAAAAGAAGGAGACAAACCGAAAACCACTTTCAACACACCCCTGGGCCAGTTTGAGTACTTAGTGATGCCCTTCGGTCTTCAAGGGGCTCCGGGAGTGTTCATGAACTTTATCAACGAAGTGTTACACAAGCACTTGTTTAATGGGGTACTTGTTTACTTAGATGATATACTTTTGTACTCCCCCAATTTGCCCTCCCACGTGAAATTGGTGAGAGAAGTCCTGAACACGTTGCACAAGCACAAACTGTTTGCTAAGCTGTCTAAATGCGAATTCCACAAGACACACATTGACTTCTTGGGCTACCACATCTCCAGTGCGGGGTTGGAGATGGACCCGGGGAAGGTTCAAGCAGTGTTGGGGTGGGAGGCACCTCGAACCTGGAGGCAGCTCCAGTCCTTCTTAGGATTCTCAAACTTTTATTGTTCACTTTTGCCTAATTTTGCCCAAATTAGCCTTCCACTCACAGACTTGTTAAAAACAAAGGGAAATGGGGCGGAAGCCACCAAGCTGAGCTCCCCACTCCCCTGGTCCCCTGGTCGGAGGAATGCCAAGCAGCGTTCATGCTCTTAAAAGATCTCTTCACGTCTGAGCCGGTACTAGCTCACCCAAACGAAGAGAAAAAATTTATTGTACAAACTGATGCCTCGGATGTCACCATGGGGGGGCTATTTTACAGGAGGGGGACAATGGGCTACTACACCCCCTTGCCTACGTCTTGAAAAAATTCACTGACACGGAGAGAAACTGGTCCGTGTGGGAAAAGGAGGCGGGAGCTATAAAACTCGCACTTTCAACATGGCTAGAAGGGGCAAGGGTGCCGTTTGAGGTCTCGACTGATCATAAGAACTTGGAAACTCTTAAAACGTCGCGCTGTTTGAACGCCAAGCAGCTGCGGTGGGCAGATTTCTTTTCGAAGTTTCAGTTCATCCTCCATTATTTCCCGGGCTCGGCAAACTCCCTAGTGGATGCCCTCTTGCGCCTTCCCCAACATGCCAGTCAGCAGGACGTCATACTGGACTCAGTTTTCACTCCCACCCAGCTGGGGGGAGCGGTCACAACTCGGCGGCAGGCGGCCAACTTGCCTTTGGCTCCACCTCTACTTTCCTCCCCCCCGAATCGTCCCAATGGGCCAGCCAATTCACCTCCGCCTTTACGGAAGCGGACAAGGAGGTGCTGGATGGGGTGGGGGATTGTTTTCAAGGGGAGGATGGCTGTTGGTATCGTGACAATAAACTGTATGTTCCCATCTCCCTGAGAGGGGCAGTTATGCAGTCTGCCCATGGATCTAAGCTGGCGGGCCACTTTGGCTTCGTTAAATCCATGCAACTTCTTCAAAGACAGTTCTGGTGGCCACTCATGCACAAAGATTTCTCGGTGTTTGTCCAATCGTGTCAAGTGTGTGCAATGAGCAAACCACGACTTGGGAAGGTTCCGGGTTTATTGAAACCCCTTCCCACCCCTCATCGACCATGGGAAGTGATCTCGATGGATTTTCTAACGGACTTGCCTCCTAGCAAATCCACGACTGTAATTTGGGTGGTAGTGGACCTTTTTTCTAAACAAGCCCACTTCATCCCCTTCCCGTCGTTGCCGACGGCCAAAGCCTTGGCTAAAGCTTTCCTAACACATGTGGTAAGGCTCCATATGCTGCCCAGCAAAGTGATATCCGGCCAAGGGACCCAATTCATTTCTAAGTTTTGGGGGGAATTAATGAAGATTATGTGGGTGGAGAGGGGCTTAAGCAGTGCATACCACCCAGAGACTGATGGAATTGGGACCTGGTGATGCCGGCTTGTGGTGTAAACAATTGCAAGATTCATGGCCCCTCTTGCAAAAGACTTTGGATGCAGCCAAAGAAGCACTCAGGCTGACAAGAGAAGGGTGGAGG